TAGTATTATATATACTATATGCTACATATAAAGCATATATAGTATGTATGTGTATGTGTGTGTGTATGTGCGATCGTTCGGCACGCTACTTGCCGCTGCAAGCAGAGCGATAAAAATCCACAAATCCACAGAAAGAGAACAACAAAGCGAGAGAGAGAGAGAGAGAGCGAAAGAGTATACAAAAAGAGAACAAGAGAATTTGCTGGTTGCTCAACAGATGCAAAAGTCACGAATGTCGCATGACATAAAGCAAGCGTGTGTGTGTGTGTGTGTGTGTGCTAGTGTTTGTTTGACATTGACTTGATTTGTCGCAATCCGGGCGCACAGTGTGTGTGTGTGATAGCAACGAGGGGCAGCAGCGTGCGGCAGCTGAGAACGCGCATCATTCGCGATGTTTTGTCAGCGGGCAGTTAGCTAATTGATAATCAAACAGTAAGCCGAGAAGTCGACTGTACTTGAGCGAGCAGACGGATAGACGGACGGACGAACAGACTGGCCAGGTCTAATTAGGCGCGCTTGTAAGGTCAGCGCGCAACGTTGCGTATGCGCAATGTGCAAATAAGGTAAAGTGTGAGCGCAAAATTGCGCATACGCCGCATGGCCAGCGACAGAGACTGCGACTGCGACTGCAAGTGACAAATGCAGCTGCGAGGCACAAGTTCAAGTGCATTACGCATACGCACACGCACACACACAGACGCACACATACTCAACATTAATTGAGGGCAAATGTTGATCAGATCAATGTCATGGCATGGCATGGATACAGCCTATCTATATAAACTATGTATCTATATATATGTATATACATATATTTATATCTTTGGCTGGCTGCTGCAGTGACCCTGGCAACATTTAACAAATTGCAATTGGTTCAAGATCAGCGACGCAACGTTTTGGCTTTTGGCTTTACGGTTTGCCTGCGATATTTCTCTCTGTCCATTGCTAACCTTGCGACAATTGATTTTTGCTGCTCGGCGAGCGCAGCAAGTAACATTGTGTGTATGTGTGTGTGTGTGTGTAGTGTGTGTGAATTGCTGTGCGTCTTAGTCATACGCTGTTCTTGCAAGCCGTTCGGCTTATCAGGGCTGCGTAATCCGCGACTGTTGCCACTGCCCCGCATCTAAGTCATTCGAGTCGCTGCTTGGCATTGTTTTTGGAAATGTGGTTGCACTTGGCTGTTAATGTGCCGCGCAGTCACAGTCAGAGCCACGGCYCGTGGACAAGACAACAACAACAATAGTGAGCTGTCGATGCGCAGCGAGGCTGTCAAGCTGCGCTCTCTCACCCACCCACCCTCTCTATCTCACTCTCTCTCTCACTCTCTCATTTACTCGATGTTTATAGCCAGCTCTTTCATTCATTGCATTTTCAGGGTCGTCACAGCGGCAAATCGCTGAGTGTTGCATCTAAATCAACAGATGTGTGCTAGACAGCTTGTTCTATACTAGAAAAACCAGACTGCTGTGCGTATAGGGTATACACACATACACATAGCTTACAGAGTATAGCGTATAGTATGCCGTGCACATGGCCAAATGGGGTGCTCTGCTGACTTTGAAAAACGCTTTGAGTGACAGCCGCTTTGTTTGCCTGCTATAAATATATGAATAATAACATTTTTAACTGCCTAAAGTAAGAGCTTTAGCTTGAAATATATAAAAAATGTATATGTAAAAAAATATATATAAATATTGGTAAAATATATTGGCATGGAAATAACCAAAGGCTATTCACTCAAAAGTTAATTAAACCTATTGATTTAATATGACAAAAGAAATGAAACAAAAAAAGCCTATTAAATAAAGTTTTCATTTATTGAAGTTTTTTTTTGAAGAATTTCTCGGAAAATATTTTTTTTAGCACTTTTCAATTTGAGCTGTTTTTAAATTTAAAAAAAAAAAACTCCTTTATTTTTTTGCTTTAACATTATTACACTCTCTACTTTGATTTAGCTGTACAATTTTATGCTTGAATAATAAATGTAATTTTATAATATTTTATGAACCTGGCGGACTCAATCGAATGATAAATTGCACCGCTGAATGTCAGAAAAAAAAAAAAAATAAAAATAAAGAATTTCAATTAAATGAAAATTGTTTTTTGATGCAGCTGTTAGTGCTTTTGTATGTTGCACATGCAAGTTAATGGAAAATCATAATAAATGCATATAAATTGCATTGTTTATATACAGTTGATATATATAGATACATATATATGCACATTGCAGCCATCAGTGATAATCGAGTTAAACTTTTAATTTCATTTTCCTGATTAATGACTGAGCCGAGCAGATCTGCCAGCAGAGACACGAGTGCAGGTCCATGGGTTATGGGTACAGCTCTTCAAATGATCCAAATTGTCTTCTGGTCAAACATGTTGCCTGGCTATCGAACATGTTGGCAGTCAACAGTTGTCCAGACTGCCGCCAAGAGCTGTGCCAGCCTCAATCTGCATCATGTCCAATGCCAATCAAACATGTGCACGAACTTGACTTTCAATGTAAAGCGAACAAGGCGAAAGCGACGTCGACGTCGAAGCTGACTTCGACTTTGCCGCTAGCTGTGATCGCTGCAGCAACCTTGACCCGGTTCTTGAAACTGCAATGGCAACAGCAGCAGCMGCAACAACAGCTGCCGTCACTTGTGCAACATTGAGAGCGAGAGAGAGAGAGAGAGGGAGAGAGGCTGCCAAACGGGTTTAGCGTAGCCGGCGAAGAGCGTGAGGACCGGCAGAGAGCGCGACAGATCGTTCGACACGATGCGACGCGACTCGTCGCTGCGCATGCGCAAAATCTACAATTCGCTGTGACGATTCATGACCGCACACCCGACCGCCCTCCTGCCCCGCTGCACTTGCATGGCCAATTGGTCGCTTTAGTGAATTGGCAATTAGCGCAGCGCAGCGCGCAKTCATTTTTTATGCTCATATTTACATTGCACGCACACGCATTATTAACTATTTGTTGTTGTTTTTGTTGTTGTTGTTGCTTTTTATTATTATTATTGATGTCTTAATGTGGCTGTGCGGCAATGATGGTCATCCAGTGCTGACCAGGCCCGGACGGGCAGCCACGGCTCACGGCATTGAACGTGGCTTGTTTGGCAAAAAGCTGACGCTGACGGTGACGGTGACGGGGTCTGACGTCAGCGCGCAGTGGCTGCCTGGCCGCCTGGCCGCCTGGCCGCGAAGGTCGAGGTTAATTAAGTTGTCTTTGGCCGTGCATGGCGACCTTGTTGCCTTGTCTCGTTTGCTTTGCGCTGCAGTCGCTGCAATCGCTGCTGCTGCTGCTGCTGCTGCAATCTTGACATTTTGGCTCAAGTCGCTCCTGTCACACACACACACACACACACTCGCTCTCTCTCCGCCTTAATGCTTTATTAATTGTTGCAAATGAATGCAAGCTCTGCTGCAGCCGGCAAGACAAGCGCTCGCACTCACAAGTTAATTGGTTTACAATTTTATTAAAATTCAATTACACTGCGGCTCTCGGCTGTGCAAACAAGGGAGGTGCAGGGGTGTGCATAGGCTATACGTAACTGTAGCCATGTAGCCTGCACTCGACCGTGGCATTTGGTTAAGCTGAAATGCCTGAACGTGGCAACGCTTGCCGTGTGGCGCTGTTACTCCTTACGGCCTCTGCTCCCATTGCTCGCGCGGTTTGTCCTTCTCCAGCAGCTCTTCAGTTCGCCAATTCTCAATTCCCAGTTGTCACGTCGCACCGTAGCATATTCTGTATTAAATTGTTGCTGGCAACGTGAGTCAGTTTATTTGCAGCAGTTGTTGCTGTTGTTGTTGTTGGTTGCACGAATGACAGCTTTGCAATTTAGTTGCAAATTGGCAGTGAGTGCTGTGCCATGTGGAAAGGCGACGGACGACAGGCGACAAGTTGCCGAAGGTAGCGCCAAAAGAAAAGAAATCAATGTGCAACAGCGAGTGTGCATAAGGGGTTGTCAACTGCATAAATGTCTCTGTGTGTGTGTGTGTGTGTGTGTGAGTGGGGCATGCAACTAAGTGGAAGCTTGCAGACTTTGTGGCTGTGTGTGTTGCTTTGAAATGAAACTGGAAAATTGTCAGGCAAACAATATCAAAACTCTCTTGGGCCAAATACGTAAGGACCCAAGCGGCTTGAACAAGGTTAAGCTGTTTAGAAAACATATTGATTACAAGAACAACAACAAGAACAAGAAAAAGAAAAAAGTCGGTGCTTAACTGAGCAAAGTATATCGAAGCTTATAGACAACTTTTGTTTGTTGACCAAATTGAAGTTGGCTTCGATCTTTGAAGAAGCTTTAGGCACTTCATTTTCACTGAAAAGCGTGAAATATAAATATAGAGTGAAATTAATGAGGTTTTGTCTTAATCATAGCTCAATTATGCTAATACAAAGGGAACTAACTAGGCAAGACTGACAAAATATATCTAAAAATTGAAAAATAAAAACAATAAAACCTTTGCCTGATTGAGACTGAAATACTTAGACAAAATATTTTCACATTTAAAATTAAAATTCAAATACTTAGACCAAATATTTTCACATTTAAAATTAAAATTCCCATAGACTTCGAATAGTTTTTCATTTAAATTTTCTTTTGCTTGGCGCGCGAGCAAAATTATTTCATCAAAGCAAAATAAGAAGGGCACCCATCTCGCCACGAAAATATGCCACAAAATGGGCAACGAAATGGGGCAACAAGTGCGAAACCCCAAAGAATAGGCATCAAAGAGCCAGCGCGTAAAAAAGTCAAACAGAAAAAGTAAAAAAAAAAAATTAAATAAAATAAAATGTAAATGAAATGAAAAATAAGTGAAGCAGGCGAAAAGAAAAGAAAAGTGAAAGAAAATGCCGAGCTCAGCCGCTGCTATTTGCTTAATTAAATGCGCAATAAGTGGGCGTGGCATGGTAGGTAATACAAAAAAAAAATGGAAGAAAATTCAACGGTCAAATAGCGTGCGCTAAGCAGAAGACGAAAAAACAGAACGAAGCGAAGAAAAATTAAAATAAAAGAAAAGTTTTTGCAGCGCGTATTTGATTACAAAGCATTTATAAGCGGCGAGGATAGCGGACGGCGGACGGCGGACAGCGGACAGTGGCAAGGATAACAGGCTGGTCGCCGTCGAGCCAACACACTCAGCGCAATGAAATCAAGAAATAATAAAACGCAAAACTTGCAACACCAACAACAACAATAACAACAACAACAACAACATCTGCAGGTAAATCATTAGGGCACCGACTTAGCTATAATTAATGAGCAACTGGAACAACATCGCTGCGCAAATTAACCTGAACTGCTTAGGGTCGAGCAGTGGGCTCCCTCGGTCTATGGCCGGGGCAGGCTGATTGTCCAACTCCGGGTGGAGTTCAAGTGCAATTAAAACAGCGCAACATTTTGCTTGTAATCCTCTCGCTATTGCGTATCCCAACCTCAATTCATTTAGGAAATTTTATTTTGTGGCCAGCTGTCATGAGGACCTTACACTGTTGATGTCTTTATGAAGTCTTTAAGTTCGGATTGTGTCGACATGAACGAGCTTAACTTTACAGAAAGCGAAATATATACGAATAATATAATATGTTAAGTAGTATAACATTGAAAGTATGTCGTCGTCTAAGCATATAGGCTCTTTCGACTTTTCCAACTCTTCCCATGCTCCCAGTGACTATTCTCATATTTAATTCAAGCTCTGAGATGTCATCTCTTTTCTTCTTTTGTCACCTCTGCTTCATCTTCTGTCGTCTCAATTTCATCCTCAGTCAGACGGATTTGAACTATCGATAGCATAGGATCGATAAAGATAGTCTAATATTATGAATTTTATAGTTCTCTTATGTTATAAGTCCATTGCTCTTTACTTTACTCCAATAAAATGCAAGTAGATATCGATAACTCAGCTACTATCAATAGCTTATAATTAAAAGTAAGTAAATTTATTTCAATTCAATTCAATATTTTTAATTGACTTTAAAAATTTCAATATTATATGATATCTATATGCTTTAGTCATAAGGCTATTCATTTGACTAATCCAAGTTTTAAAGTCATTTTCTTATAATACTTGCTTGGGCTATCGATGATCGAAAACAGTTTTCCGTTGATTAAAGGAAAAAAAAACTTACATGTCGCAAATGCCACTTCGAAAAGTAATCAATCAGGTGCTATCGATTAATTTAACAAACTGTTATCGATTACCCAAATAGATCTTAATATACAGGGTAGCCCCTCTCCCAAGCCAACTCAGTTGCATATTAAAGTTGTTCTCTGATATTGCTCATTTCAGAATCTGCCTGCATGATAACTAAACTATTGTGAATATGTTTATCACGCCAAGGAACCCCCTTTTGTGCTTAAACGTGCTAGCCTCCGTCACTGGGTGCTGTCTGGGCTCATATTGTTATATGGTTGCCTATGGGCTCTTTTGTTGTGGTGCCAAAAACTTTTGCCAGTTAATTATTAAGTAGATACACGAATTTATTGCGACTTCAGCCGCAGGCACGCCCCACGCCCCGCTCACCCGGCTGCCTCCTTCGTTGCCCTTGCGTTGTGGACTTTGTGTGTGTGCGTTGAGGTGTAAACGTGCGGATTAAGTGTCTTGCTGTCTGACCAAAGTGAGAGAGGGGGTGAGAGAGAGAGAGAGAGAGAGAGAGAGATGTATATCAATGTATTTTGGAGGCTGGATGAAATTTACGCTTCGCTTGGAAATTGGCCAGAAAACTTGGCTAATTTTGTTGCTGTTGCTGCTACTGCGACTGCTGCTGCTGTTGTTTGGCTCTAGCGTTCTCAGGTGAGTATTGAAAAATTGATGAGATTTTGTGAGCTTGGGTTTTCTGTTTTCATAGGACTTTGCGCCCCAAATACTTGAACTTTAAAGCCAAACGAGTTGAGTGAGCCAAGGCAGACAGATATAAAGCATTATTTCCGTCAAGAGTTTGCCAACTGCCAGAGGAGAAAACGAAAAAAACACCAAATGAATAGAAAATACCAAACAGCTGGCGCAACAAAAACTTACAGTAAAGAAGAAGCAGGGGCAGAAGAAGATGAAGAGGCGCATATAAAAAGTGCACACAGCCAGTGCATATGCCAGGCAAAAATAGAAAAGAAGACAAAAATGGATTCTGGGTATACACAAAAAAAAAAAAGAAAGAGATAAAGAAAGAAAGAAAGTATTGATGCCGGACATGAAAATATAACGAATCTGTTGGCCATATTGATTGTGGGGCCAAAGGAAGCGCTGCAAAGCGCAGCAAAGTATGCAATAAAAAGTATGCAAAAGACTGCGAGCACGGCAGAGGAAATCAAACTTGTGATTGACTTTGCCAGCTGCTGGCACTTGAGCACATTTGCCAGCCATTGCAATGAACGGAGGACACAGTGAACGTAAGCCGATTTGTGGGCAAGCACACACATACACCCGCATACCCGCACACACACATGGAGCCTCATACACATGCATTGGTAGACCTCTCAGTATCATTTGCGATTTTTAATTGAATTTCCTGGCAGGCACACTTTTGTTGTCTAGCAGCCACATTGAAGGCAATTTAAGCGGCAGTCAAGTGAGGCACAAAAGGGTTAAACACACACACACACACACACGCACACACACAAGTATTCGAATGAATATCAATGAACTGTCATAAAACAGGCGCCACCATATGGCATTGGGGCGTGTGGACAACAAGAGGCAACTGCCACTGACAGCAGCCTGACACGTAGGCAAACATTTTAGCGCCCAACGAACAAACAAGCACACAAACAACAATAGTTCACACTTGGAACAAAGCGCTTGACATATATATACACATAAACGTACACACATACACTAATGTGTACACATGCATATGTATGTAAACATTTATATGAAGACCAACATACAGTCAAGGAATCTCTCGTTAGATATGGAACATAGAAATATGGTTGAAAGTTAATTGAGTGTTGAAAGCGACAGAATTTGTTGAACTTTTAAGTACATTTTATAGACAATATTAATGAAAATACTTTTAAGCAAACTTGTGCGGCCTCAGGGTATTAAATTAAATTAAAGTATAAATTATTAATAAAATACACACAAACATTAAATGAATTTTAAATACAAAATGAATGTTTATATAAATTTAAGTTAAATGTCATAATAATAATAACAAAAAATTATTTGAAAACAATTATTTAACTTAAGTTTGTATTTGAATTTCAATATGGTTTTATTTAAATTCATATATATACATATATATATATTTTTTTATAGAACGTATTGTCCATTTATTTATTTTTTCTTCAGT